AAAAACAAAAAAGCCGGAAGTGGCGCTGTGGCTCAAGTGGTAGAGCGCTAGCCTTGAGCTGAAGAGCTGAGGGACAGCGCCCAGGCCCAGAGTTCAGGCCCCATGACCGGACCCAAAAAAAAGAAAAGAAAAGAAAATAGAAAAAAAGAAAATAGACCTTGCAAAATGAGTGGCATGAAAGTGTTGCTCATTGATCATAATCTGTGACGCTGAATGAAATATTATAGAAAAGCAAAAGGTCTACATTCAACAATCTTAAGTTTGCTGTACTTAGAAATAAAAGATAAGTGTAATTTAAACAGACACAAGGAAAGAAAAAGTAGCCTTCAGCCGGGCGCCGGTGGCTCACGCCTGTAATCCTAGCTACTCAGGAAGCTGAGATCTGAGGATCTCGGTTCAAAGCCAGCCCAGGCAGGAAAGACCATGAGACTCCTATCTCCAATAAACCACTAGACAACTGGAAGTGGCGCTGTAGCTCAAGTGGTAGAACGTTTGCCTTGAGCTGAAGAGCTGAGGGACAGTGCCCAGGCCCAGAGTTCAAGCCCCATGACCGACCAAAAAAAAGAAGAAGAAAAAGTAGCCTTTGTTGCAGAAACTAATATGAAGAAAAAGGAAAATCAACAGAGAAAAAGCAACACAAAATCTAATTTCTCCAAAATGATGACAGAATTGGCAAGCCTCTAGCCTGGCTAGCCTCAAAGAAAAGGGAGAAGACACAATGAGCCAATGCCACAAATGGAAGAAGAATTGTCACTGTGGAGTCGGTGATTATTAGATGGATGTTATTTGTGTGTGTTGGTACTGGGACTTAAACTCAGCGCCGAGATCATTGTTCCAGCTCCAGGCTGGTGCTCTACCACTTGAACCCTACCTCTACCTCTGGCTTTTTGCAGGTTAATTGGAGATAAGAGTCATAGACTTTCCTGCCTAGCTAGCTTCAAACTTCAGTCCTCAGATCTCGGCCTCCTGAATAGCTAGGACTACAGGCATGAGCCACTGATGCCTGGATTTATTGGGTGGATATTAAAAGAATACATTTAATAGCTCTCTACCCCAAATTTGATAGTCTGATGGGACAATGCTTCTATCCAGGGCATCAGTATTTGTGATAAGAACCACTGAGCCTCCAAAGTTACAGAGAAATAGAAAAGTCATCTTCAATGTGCATCTCCAAAGTGAAGTAAATCAGACTGCAAAACCCTGTGTGCTGGTGATTCTGTGTGAGATCCCTTTGATAGAAAAATCCACAGAAACCAAGGCACAGGTGGCTCTTACCTATAATCCTAGCGACTTAGGAGATTGAGATCTGAGGACTGAGGTTCAGAGCCAACTCAGAAAGACAACTCCAAGAGGTTTATCTATGGAGGGATTAATTAATAAAGCAGAGGGGATGATTCGGACTGAGAAACTATTTTGCAATGGTGATTCACAATGTTAGGCGATTGCCAGACCCCATAGAAATGGTAACACTGAGTGAACCTTAATGCAACTCTGGATGGTTGGTAATAATGCATTAGTATTGGTTTAGTTTTGGTAACACAAATGTATCACACCGAGTTGTTCTTTTGAGAAGGGCAGGGAAAAACAGGAATGCGTTTGAAAACTTTCCATGCTGTCCTTTCAATTTTGATGTTCACTGAAAATTGCCCTAGATATCTGTTAATTTTATAAATCTGGCAAGCGTGTTGTAAGAGGAGAGCTTTTTCAGATAACATCTAATCCCATGGCAAATGTGTAAACCTTCACTGGAGACAATTACTATTAAAGTACAGAAAACTTTATGTTGCAAGTGAATCTTTGCTTCTGAAATCATAGGAGTCATGATTAATATATAAATTTGCATGCATCAAATATAGAAGAGTATGGTTTTGCACGTTGACAGTTTTCTCTACAATGCGGGGCACTCAATAATCTAGTCATTCTTGATGGTTTCCCCCGAAACATCATCTGACTCTTCAGCAGGCTTCCCACAGCTGGGTGATGAGAGGAGGTTTCTGCCATGTTGACCTTCAGAAAGGGATTGGTTCTTATAGGAGATAGGAGCAGCACTGTAGTTACCAGCGGTAAAGGAAGTGATGTCACAAGAGGACCATAGAAATGAACTCTGATGTATTGTTGCTTATGGTGGCAGGTGAATGTTTACCGGGATGACTTATAAAGTCAGAGTAAGGGAGCAAGAGCACTGAGCTGGGCTGCGAGGACTGGGTTCAAATCCTACTTAGAAGCTGTTGCACACGTGGGAGAGTTCAACAGACTTCCCTGCTCAACTTTGTGGAGATGGTCACAATCTGTTGAATTTTTTTAGGTTATAGGATAAACGTGTTTAAACACAATGTGTTAAGGAGACAGGTGTATCGGTTGTGCTCTCATGTGTCCATTCATTAAATATCAGGAAGCATCAGCTAGGCCCTGGTGGTAACTGGACAAAGAGGTGGCTTCTGCAAACTGGACGATGGATTCTACTCTTCATCCTCTGATGTGTATCACCAAGCTCAAGGAGACAGTCTCTTCTTTCCTGTCACCTCACAGAAGCCCACGCAGGACAAGAGATTGTACTTTACAGTCAAGGAACAGAAATTGAGAAATTTTCCTTTTATTTGGGAGGTGGGAGGGGAGGAGATGGCTGTGATAGTGGGGTTTGAACTCGGGGCCTATGAGATGCCCCCTTAGCTTTTCCAGGAAGGCTGGTATTCTGTCACATCAGTCACAACTCTACTTCCAGCTTTTTGGTAGTTAATAGGAAATAAGAATCTCACAGCATTTCCTGCCAGGGCTGGCTTTGAACCACAATTCTCAGATCTCAGTCTCTGAGCAGCTAGGATTACAGGTGTGAGCCACCAGAATCTAGTGCTAGCCTTGTGCAGAGAGAGGCTCAGGGACAGTGCCCAGGCCCTGAGTTCAAGTCCTAGGACTGGCAAAAACTGAAAAAAGAGTGTAGGAACAGGCACAGTGCCTCCTGTGCATAGGTCTGCCACCACAGACAGCATGACAACGTGGGATCTTGCTAATTTTTTGGTCCAGGCTGGCCTTGAATCTTTATCCACTCATCTCAGTCTCTTGGATAGCTGGCGTTACAACCATCGTGCCAGCTACCATGGCTGGAAAATTCTTGAGTCTTGACACAAGCTTTGAAAGATCATGAAAGTAGAAGAGATGTGCAGCAGTCTTTGACAAAGGACTTCAGTTCTAGAATAGAGTTGTAACTTAGTACTGTCGAAATGTGTAATTTTTGAAGTGCTCAAACTAGATGCACTCAAGTTGACTTAGGGCAAGAGTTGCTGAGTTGATGCTTTTAAAATGAGAAAAATGAGAATGTTGATGTAACTAAATGTGACTGTCTTGGGCCATAAATATTTGAGAAAATAGAAAAAGGCAACCTCATTGCCGAGAGAGAGAGAGAGAGAGAGAGAGAGAGAGAGAATGGTGTTGAAAAAGATTACTGTTACTCTGTTCTAAATGTGTATCTGTGATTTTAAATGTAGAACTTTTTTTTTGAAATCGTCTTCTGACATCCCTGGACACTTTTGGAGTTTGTGTGAATGTGTGTGTGCGTGTGCGTGTGTGTGTCTGTATCGGGGCTTGAAATCCCTTAGCTTTTTACCCTTAAGGCTAGTACTCTACCACAAGAAGCCTCAGCACCACTTCTGGCTTTTTTAGTGGTTAATTGGAGGTGAGTCACTTGTAGTTTTCTGCCCAGGCTGGGTTCAAATCATGATCCTCAGAACTCAGCCTCTTGAGTAGTTGAGATTATAGGTGTGAGCCACTAGCTCCTAGTCTAGGGTTTTAACCTTTGAAAACAGTAATCTCAACTTCCTAAATAAGAAAAATGGGTTTTATTGTTTTGTCATTTTAGGAGGACGCAAAAAGTGGGCACAGAAATTGAGGGGGGAAAGGTGAACAAATGCAGTCACGGTATTCAGTGTACACTATCTAAAAAAATGAACCACGCAAGTTGTGGGCAGGGACAGGAAGGGGAACCTGGGAGAAAGAGAAGGAGTGACTTTGTCCAAGAAGAACTGTACTCATTACCTAACTTATGGAATTGTAACTCTTCACCTTAATCGTAACAATAAAATTATAAAGTGTTTCAGAAAAAATGGGGATAAAGACATAAAAAGGCTGCATGGATGCAGAAGGAATACCTATATGTAGATAGGTAAATTAAGACCACAAGGGGAAGGAGGAGAGGATGAAGATGGTTGTGCTTTATTTCAACTAAAGGGAAAGGGCAATAATTGAGCCAACTATTTCCTTTGCTAAATTACTTGGGGGTATTTCCTATTCAAGTTTCTACAGATTCATGGCACCAAACTCAACAAGTATGTTAAAACAAAAAGAAAGAAAGAGAAAAGAAAGAAGAGAGGAGAGAGAGGGAGGGAGGGAGGGAGGGAAGAAAGGAAGAAAGAGGGAGAGGGAGAGGGAGAGGGAAGGAAGGAAGGAGAGGGAGGAGGGAAGGAAAGCACACAAGAGAAAAGTCGTTGGTTTAAGTGACTATGGAGGCTGGCTCAGGAGGCCCAGTGACATCATATTTTGTTCCATTTCTCTGATTCCCCAGATCCCCTTACTTCTGTGGCGGTCTAGACACATCTCTGATTGGTCTAACTCAGTCACACAGTAGGTCTTCTCCAGTCCCTGAGGTTCATGGGATGGATCATGCTCATTGGCCAGGTTCGGGTCATGTGTCCACTCCTGGAGCGAGGGCCTGAGGTCCTCTCACAGGCGGGGAGGGAGGTGTGCGTTGCCACTGGGCACCAGCTATAACTCAAGGAGGAACAAATCCCAGGCAGCCAAAAGCCGCCAGTGTCCATTTGTCATCATCGCGAGATGTCCGGAACGTTTCTCCACAGGGCCACCGACAGGAGCGGAAAGTTGGCCGGGCGGAAGAGTAATCAGGAACAAACCGACGTAGAGGCGGAACTTTGGACGAAGTATACGGTTACCAAGGCAACGACGCACCTCCCGCCCTCCCCCTCCTCGTGGGCGGAGGCAGCGGAAGGGCGTGTGCGGATGGGACGGAATGGGTGGGGCTTAAGGCGGAAGTGGCTTCTCGGCTTCCCCGAGCAGGTGAAGATGCGGCGTCTCGTGTGGCGGTGGTGGTGTCTGTGCTGCGTCCTGGTGGCCCAGGCCGAGGCCCCGAGCCCAGAGGAGCCCCCAGAGCGGAGCCGGCCGTATGCGGTGCTGCGCGGGCAGAACCTGGGTGAGTGGTCGCAGGTGGGCGGGGTCGGTTTCTGGACTGCTGCCATTCCGGGTGGCGGAGGCCTGGGCGGGCCCGCGCGCGGGGCGCGCGCCGCGCCTGCCTGGGGTGTGGCGTGACGGGGCGGGAGGGGCTGGGAAGGGGGCCTCTCGTTTTAAATCATCTCCTGTTGATGTACCCCACCTACCCCTTTCTTTAGAGGGGCCAGTAACAGAAGGGTCATTGATGGGGTCGATTACGGTTGGTGTTGTGCCATACACAGCAGCTTGAGAAAAGTCATCTTTCAGCTGTATTTTACAGAGAAGGAAAATGAAGCTCAGTCGTGAACTTTTACTACCGAGGTTTACCCGGGAAGTCATGGAGGCCAGTGCTAGAACCTGGGCTTTGTGGAACTTTCAATTCTTGGGGGAGAGGTGGGAGGAAATCTCTTCAACCAGGCACACGTGCATATACACGTACATGGCTTTAAAAGAACCCTGGGACTTAGAGCTTCACAGTCAATCGGCCTGGTCCTTATAGTTTTCCTTTCCTTTTGTATTTCAGTCGTACATCTATATAGCTACATAAGTGGCCACGTGGTATATACTTCATTGTCTTGACTCCCTAACTCAATCTCTGCCATGTGCTGACCACTTATCTCTCTGCTAAGTAGTTTGCACACATTAACATCCTTAATTCTTTAGAACCTACTGATACAATGGATCAAATGATTCTTTTTCAGGGTTGTGTGCGGGACTATCCTGAACACTAGAATGTTCAGTAGCAACCCTATCAATTTTCTAGATGCCACCTACAGCCAGGAGGATTAAAATGTCTGTAGACATTGCCAGTGCTGAGTTAACGTCTCCATTGCTGTGACCACTGCTATAAAATAGCACTGCTCAGAGAGTGATCTGCAAAGACAAGGAGAGGGGAGAGGGGATATGCCTATACTGGGGCTTGAATGTAGGATATGGCCACTGTCCTTTAGCTTTTTTGCCCAAGATTGGTTCTCTACCACTTGAACTACTCAGTCCCACTTCTGGCTTTCTGGTGGTTAACAACATAAGAGTCTCACAGACTTTCCTGCCCCAGCTAGCTTTGAACTGTCATCTTCACATCTCAACTTCTTGAGTAAAGAAATCTCTACTGAATGGATTTCCTTTGTCCCATTTAATGAATAGAGAATACAAGGCTCAGGGCAGGGAAGGTGGCTCAGTGGTAGAGTGCTTGCCTTGCATGTATGAGGCCCTGGGTTCAATTCCTCAGCACCACATAAGCAAAAAGAAAAAAGCTGGAAGTGGCGCTGTGGCTCAAGTGGTAGAGCGCTAGCCTTGAGCTGAAGAGCTGAGGGACAGCGCCCAGGCCCAGAGTTCAGGCCCCACGACCGGACCCAAAAAAAAAAAGAATACAAGGCTCAGTGATGGGAAGTGTCCAGTAAAGATGGACTAAAAAGGCTTCTTACAGGGCTGCTGGTCAGACAGATGATGCTGCAAGCAAAATACCGGGAGAGGTAGAAACACCAAGTGTAGAAGAATGTATCGAGCCCCAAATGAATATTGTGCCTCTAACGACACATTATTTTAAGCTGCTTTTTCTTTTTTCTTTATAAAATTCATTCCAGTCTCCAGACTTTGCTTTAAAATTATTTTAGCAGCCCCTCCACAATGAGAGACAATCGTTTCAAGTCCAATTATAGTTAGAACAATAGAATTTTAGAATTCAAAACTTTCAAAAATTAGGGCAGGTGTTTAGTTAACAGATGACATTGAGCTCATGTAAGGTGTTGGTTTTAACCAAATCCTTAAAATTACTTTGGGCTTTTTGGAATTATTGCATTGTCTTTGTGTCTTCCCTTCACCAAAAAAGATGATCTTTCCATATAATAACTGGGTTCAGGGTGGATGATGGGACTTGTGTGGGGTGTAGAGGGAGATCATAGATACTCTGAAATTACTGACTTAAAGAAAACTGGTTTTCTTAGAGGAATAGTAACCATGGTTACTGGGTTCCAGCTGGAACCTGGGATGGGCTCACATACACATATAAATGTACATTTGCTTAGTGAAGGGGACAGAATTTTGAATGTTTCCCAGTACCTCTGAGATAGCCCCAGGCACTGTTGCTGTTGAATAACCTGACAGGTGGCTGGTTAGGTTAGTAGTTTAAAACCCAGATCCTTAACATCTTGTACCACAAGGCTCAGCCTAAATAATTAGTCCTCACTTGAGAATCTTGAAAAACATAATGGGTTTGTAAAATTAGTTGTTGCTTTATTGCCCTTGTCAATAGTTTTCTAGAGTCAGCCAGCTAAGTCTTTTTTATTTTTGCAGGGGGAGGGGAGGGAGGTGGTACTTCTCCCGGGGCTTTGAACTCAGGACCTGGGCACTGTCCACAACTCAAGGCTAGTGCTGTTACTTGAGCCATAGCTCCATTTTCCCAGCTTTTTGGTGCTTAATTGGAGAAAACAGTCGGGCTGGCTTTGAACCATGCTCCCCAGATCTCAGTCTCCTAAGTAGGCTTATGGGTGTGAACTGTTGCTGCTGGCTCAGAGGGATCTCTTGTCCCTGCATAAACTGGCTTCTGCCTTCCTGTCTCATGTCCTGTGCCCATCTTAGCCCTTTCTCCCTTCTTTCATGCCTGCCTCCTTTCTGTTCACTGGACATGCTGGGCTTGCTCTGGCCTCAAGGATCCTTGGGACTGCAGAGCTCTCCTTTTGGAGCTGTGCATGACCACTTAAGGGCTCAGCTTGTGTCTCACTTCAGATGCCCCCTCAGTCACTTGGCTTCCTAGTCCCACGTCACCCTCAATCACCCATTCTTTTTTCTTTTTTTTTAATTGATCATGGGGCTTGAACTCTGGGCCTGGGCTCTGTCCCTCAGCTCTTCAGCTCAAGGCTAGCATTGTACCACTTGAGCCACAGCGCCACTTCCGGTTTTTCTGAGCAGTTAATTGGAGATAAGAGTCTCACAGACTTTGCTGCCTGGGCTGGCTTTGAATTGCAATCCTCAAATCTCAGCCTCCTGAGTAGCTAGGATTACAGGCATGAGCCACTGGCACCTGGCTAATCACTTATTCTTTATGGCATCTCAAGCTATGTGAAAGGCTCTTCCTTGTTTGTTTCATGGGATTACTTAAATTAAGGATGCTTTTGTTTACTACTGCTTCCCCACATCCAGCACAAAGTACATTTGGTAAATCATGTTGCAGGAAGTGAGGATCTGAAGTTTCCATTTGGAGGTAACCTGTTTTCCCTTTGCAGTGTTGATGGGAACCATTTTCAGCATCCTGCTGGTGACCATCGTCCTTATGGCATTTTGTGTCTACAAGCCCATTCGTCGTCGGTGACAGCAGAGCAACTTCCGCTGCAAGTTTTGGGGAACAGGATAAGTTGTGTTGCACATGGGCCAGTGGAGATTTGGAATCAGAACTTTTCTACTTAGGAAAGACCTTTGGTCTGGACAGTTGATGAATGCTAAGCTAAGCAATGTAGAAAAAAAACCAAAACATTTACTAGCAATGATTTTTTTTCCCCTCTATATTAATTATTGGCTGCTGAGTATACTCAGTGTTGTTTTTTTTATGCCCGGATGTTCTTAAGAGTAAGACCCAAAGTCGCAAGCTTTGAGTAAAGTTGAGTGTTCATGAGAAAGCATGTGACCCACGAATGTCTGGAGACCCACACTGGAAAGGACTAACCATTAATCTTGAAATAGCAAGAGGGAAGCAAGGCATCCTCTGCTTTTGTTTTCTTTGTGAATTAACACACATTTGTAACAGGAGGAAGTTTCATTGTGCATTCTATATATGTGCACAGTGCAGTTTGCATCCCCTCTCCCTTATTCCCCTCCCTCCTCCACCAGTATTCCCTCACCCCATCTGCTCTGTACTCAGATGCCCCCACTGAAGTCAGGAACTTACCAGGTGGTGGTATGGAGTGCTGTCTTGGCCTTGAAGGCCGAGTTGGACTAGAAATGCTACAGTTGACCCATTAGAAAAAGTCCCATCCTACTCAGATTACCTTCATCTCCCTGTACTATATGCTGTCACTGTAGCCTACCACCTACCGCCTAAACGTGTGTAGGAGCTGACACTCAGCCTGAGTGGAGGGCTTGGCTGAGAAGGGCACGTATGCTGTGCCAGAAGGTGTTTACAAATTTAATCTCAACCTTGAAAATGCTGCTGCTGTTTGCACTGCTGGTAAACTGGATCATTTTTCCCCTACTGAAATGACACCTTCATACTGAAAAGGTGGTTATTAGTATTTATTGAAAGGTGCTAGATTTAGTGTTCTTATAAATCTGTAATGCTTACCTTGTGCTCCACTTAAGCACAGCACTGATGTGAAATAACCTGCACTTAATGTGAAATAACCCATGAGAGATGTTGTACCTGCCTGATGTCAGGATTTTGGTCAGAACCTTGTAACATGAAGTCACTCAAATGTTCAGCATTGTCTGCTTTTGAGCAAAATGTCAATTAAAATAAAGATGAAACCTTATATGCCATTTTACTCCTAGTGATTATTTCTGAAGTATTTAAACTGTGTGTGTGTGTGTGTGTGTGTGTGTGTGTGTGTGTGTGTGAATCTGATGTTATTTTTTAAAGGAGTGCTGCAAAACTTTAAACTTGTATGTGAGATAGCACCATTGTCATAGGCAAAATACTAATTCTCTCAGAAAACTGAGCCATAAACAGTCAGGCTGGGCCTAAGGTAGAAGCCTGGCTTCTTGCCCTATATCCAGTTGTAACAACTTCTCTAGAGCCTCAGTTTTCCCATATGTAAATAGATTTTTATTTTTTGGGGGGGGGGGGTCCGATTGTGGGCCTGAACTCTGGGTGTGGGCACTGTCCCTCAGCTCTTCAGCTCAAGGCTAGCGCTCTACCACTTGAGCCACAGCACCACTTCTGGCTTTTTTATTTTTGCTTATGTGGTGCTGAGGAATCGAACCCAGGGCCTCAGGCATGCAAGGCAAGCACTCTACTACTGAGCCACCTTCCCAGCCCATAAATAGATTTTTAAAAGGAAATAGTAAAAACTTGCAAAGCTCGTAATCTTTTGTAACGTACTTTTTGCTTTAGAAATACAATCAGGTAATTTGGGGCTGGGAAGGTGGCTCAGTGGTAGAGCGCTTGCCTTGCATGCCTGAGGCCCTGGGTTCGATTCCTCAGCACCACATAAGCAAAAAGAAAAAAGCTGGAAGTGGCGCTGTGGCTCAAGTGGTAGAGCGCTAGCCTTAAGCTGAAGAGCTGAGGGACAGCACCCAGGCCCAGAGTTCAGGCCCCACAACTGGACTCCCCCCCCCCCCCCAAAAAAAAAGAAATACAATCAGGTAATTGGTTATTTTTTAGTTGTCTGAGTTGGGGAACTTAAAATGTTACTTCACACATGAATCCAAAACCCATACAAAGTTATTTCACACACAAATCCAAAACGCACTCTGTGTCTTTGTTTCAGTTTTCTTATCATTTTGTTCGACACCAGAATTCCAGCTGTGGATGTGGCGCAGTGGCTCAAGTGGTAAAGCACTCACCTTGAGCTGAAGAGCTGAGGGACAGTGCCCAAGACCCAGAGTTCAAGCCTCACGACCGACAAAAAAAAAAAAAAAGAATTCCAGCTAGTCAGGAGCCCAATGGCTCCCACCTTTAATCCTAGCTGTTCAGAAGGCTGAGATATGAGTATTAAGGTTCAATGCCAGCCTAGACAGAAAAGTTCAAAAGACTCCATCTCCAAATAAACAGCAAAACACAAAACAAAACAAAAAACCAACAAACCACAACACAAAAACCAGACTAGAGACATTCAAGTGTTAGGATGCCAGCATGAACAAAAAGGCTGAGCTAGTGCACAAAAGGCCTAAAGTTCAAGGCTCTGGTAGTCTCTCTCTCTCTTCCTCACACACACACAAACGTACTATAGTAAAATAAGTATTCCTCTTCAAAAGAGGCTTATTGCAAAGAGATGTGTAAAGACAAAAGCACCAATTTTGGGACAGAATTATAGTGAATACTTGTAGCCATCAAAGACTGGCCAACTAAGATATTTCTAGACAGTGGTCTAGGCAGACTTTGAACCCCATCACTTACTGGATCACAGTCACTTGAACCTTCCTATCTACTTCATCTTTCCTGACATCATGGTCAGGAGATAGGGACTAAACCGGTAGCATCATTTCCCTTATTTCCCTTTCCTGTCATCATGTACTTTGCTGCTGTGTGTTGTGACAAGCTTGTTTGCAGAACAGACTGTCTTAGAAACTTTCTTCTACCTGATTGCCATAGAGTGTTGGGAGCCACTGTTCAGTCATTTTGGTGGATATTGAGCCATTAGAGGCTTATTGAACTGAAGAGTTTTCTACATGGTGCTGTGTGGCTCAAAGTACTGGTGGTGCCCCCTAAAAGTAAAGCAGCCTCACACTTAGGTATAAGGTGAGTCTGGAGGCACTGATTATCATTTGAGCACTGACTTGAGAAGCAGCAAGCCCTGGTCTCCCAGAAGGCAGCCTTGGAAGAGACTCCCAAGTTGGGAGTTGCCCATGTGGCAATGTGATGTGGGTGGGAAGTGAGTGGGGTGCATCCAGTAACTAGAAAACAGACCACTTGGACTCCAGTGTATGAGCACCCTCTAGGGAAGCAAGCTTTATTTGCATTTTGAGGGAACATGAAAAACAGGTTGACACAATGCTCAGTCCCTTTTTAAGTGACTCCTTGGGGACAAAGTCAAAGTCAGGAAGCAGAGCAATGGAATGCAAACATAGAAATTCCCTATGATTTGCCTTAGTGAGTAAACAACACGTAAAATAACTGCAGTCATTCCCAAGAACTTGGCTCATTGTAAACGCCGCTGTGTAAGGAATGAGTGTGATGTCACCTCTACTGGCCTTGTGTGCAAAGTTTTTGGTCAGAGCATGACAAAAAAGGCAGATGGCTATCGGGCATTAAAAGCACAATTCTTTGTGTCTAGGAACATAACTGGCAACGTTCACTGTATGATTCAGACATCAACTAGAATAGGAGTTTGTGTTTCTCTTCCTATCCCAAAAGAAGCGCAATAGGAAACAGACGCAAAACAAAGGAGGATACAGTTTACCGGGTGATTTCAGTGCAGCCTGGGAGAATGGTCGGCCGGTATTCCCCAGGGTCTGTGTGTTATGTGATGGATATTTACAGGAGAGCTAGACAAAATAGTTAACTACTAAAAGTATCCAAAAGAGGCCTGAGAAAAATCTGGTTAAAATGTATAACCTTGTATTGCTACTGATGGGAGTAGTCATTTTTATCTTTAAAAATAATAAAAAGATTCTGTTAAAAAATAGATTTATCCAGAAAGATGTTGTTTTGAACTCTCAAAAGCAATGTGGAATCATCACTTTCCCTTTTGAGGAGCCATCATGCTCCGTGTTCACATCTCATCTCAAACCCATCCTTTCCTGCCAAATTGCAAGTCGGATTTGCAGCTGGTGCCTCCTAGGCCTCCCTGGAACAGGCAACACATTTGTGTTGGCAACAGCCCTGGGTTCCCCTCTCTATCCCGCCAGGGACAGGATTAGCTGCCTTGGGTTTTGTCTGGAGGAACCTGCTCTCAAAGGAGCTGCCTTCTCAAAGACAATCCAGATCCCTCAACACATGGAGTGAGGTGGTTTGAAACTATTAGTAAGTTTTAAGGCTAAGGCAACATCCGTGGTCATTCATCTTCATTTGATGCAAATAGTTAAGCATAATCTAAAATAGATCCTGTACATATCTCCTCTTTAACTTTAGCTAGGGTGTGAGGAGGGGGTAGAAGGGGTGGGGGCTGGAAGGTATGGAACAAGGTGGAAATGGAGAGGAATGATGGCAACTTCCTAGAAACCCTATAGAAAGGTAAAAATAAAGAGTAGATCGGCACAACCCATTTCTTTGGTGAACACTAAAGAAGGTGTCCAATTCTCATAAGCCACTCTACAAAGGCTGCTGCTCTCCTATATAAAAGCACCCTGACTTAGCAATAATGTTATCACTCTGGGGTAGAAATGTATCTAGAACCCTGCACGAATTGGGGTTTTGTCTAAAGCTGGTAGTAAAAATGTGACCTGCAAGCCAATACAGCTAATGGAAAGTGGCGGTGCTGTCCTCCTCGTGGCCTGGAGCTGGGCTGCCAGGCCCTCTTTCCACTCCAGGGGCACCTACAGGGCCGGGGAGTCACTGGTCCTGCACCTCTGTGGAAAGAAGGGGCAGCTGCCATCTACATGAAGTGGAGGCCCTCAGGCCTGGGGCCTGGCAGCGGACACAGCACTCATGTGCAGCCCAGAGCCTTGGTGCATGGCCCGTGCAGACAGAAAGATCTATTTCTCAGTGAGTGACAGCTGTAAGACTTGCTGGAGCTCAGCCTCCTCCTCCTGGAGACGGAGTTCCCGCTCTTCCAGCTCTTTGGCAGAGAGCTCCATGGCCAACTGCAAGTCGCTGTCAAAACGGCTGGACTCATTCAGGGCACCTGGGCACAGGCCTTCCATGTTGGTGAGGAGGCTCTCCTGGATGGCCCTGGGTTGAAGAGAAAGAAGAAAAGGCAGTCAGCTACTACATCGTGGCAGTGGCAGCAAGGACACTGTGCCAGGTGCTTTTCTATGTGCATATAACTGTGCATGGGAGCATGGGTGCCAGAAAGCTGCTACTCAGAAGAGGAGACCCTGCCCAAGATCACCCAGCTACTATGTGATGGTGCTGGGAATTGAACTTGAGTCTGTTTTACAGCAAAACCAGGTTGTTTACAACTCTGGCTTATACCTAACTTACAGAAAAAAGTGCCTTGAAAATGCATCATTACAGTTTTCTTTTTTTTTCTTAAAAAGAGCTAACATCTCTGTAATTATTCCCCATGTCACTGTCTTTAAAATGGTATAAACTTCTCACTAGAGACATCACAGACCGAATAGACCAGAAAACATTTTCTCTCTTTTCTGTCAGTAGCATTGACCTGTGCCCTGTCAGCCCTTCTACCACTCCTTCCTGGAAAGGAGCTATCAGACATGTAGAGAGCTAATTTAATGAGTAGTTTTGCCATAAAGAAAAGAGTAATATGCACAGCCACACATTTGCCAAAGCAGCAAGGGCCTGTGTCAACCTCAGTTTGACAAGAGCCACATGGTCAAGAGTCATGCCAAGCCAAAAGTAGGAGCTCATGGCAGTCATCCTAGCTACTCAGGAAGCTGAGATCCACAGGATCCCAGACCAAAGTCCACGAGACTTTCATCTCCAAAACAGCAATCAGAAGGCTGAGCTGGAGACGTGGCTCAAGTGGTAGAGTGCCAGCAGTGGGTAAGGAAGCCTGAGTTCAAAACTCAATACTAACAAAAAAAAGTTATTATTTATCACCTCTCATACTGGGCCTCATAGCTGTGTGTTGGGCTGATCCCTCCATTTGAAGCTGGTCCTGAAAGTTCCTACAAATACAAATACGATGGACGTGAACAACTCTGAGAAGGAATAGCTGCCACCTTGACAAGGAAATAAGAGCTATAGAAACAAAATA